GTAATTAATATGCACGGATTTTTACCAAAAACTGATCAAATCTGCGCATTGGCCCAGAGCATCTATGCACCAAGTTTCATCAAAAACTGATGTATGGTTCTTGAGATAGCAGTGGAACAGTCGGACACACATACACACACACACACAGACACAGACACACTAACTGCAAATGACGTGCATCAAGGTCCTATTATGTTTAATGTATGTACCAAATTTGAACGAAATCCGTCCATGCATAACTGAGTTCCGGGTCCGGAATAGTGAAAATATGTGTGATTTTGATGCATTTTCGGCCTTAAAATGGCCGCTATTCGGCTATCGTTAATCGGATCATGAAAAAAATGCATGTGCATATGTCCCATATAATGTGTGATGTATGAGTGAAGTTTGAACTTAATCGGTCCATGCATGTTCGAGATACAGGTGATCACGGACGAACGGACGGACGGACGCACACAGGGCAAAACATAAGTCCCCGTTTTCGGACTACGTCCGAACGGGGACTAAAAACTCCAATTTATGCCCTGAATGGTTTAAACAATGGGTGTTTACATTGCACGTGTGAGCAGCTGACTGTTTATTTCACAATTTATTTTTAGGTTATTCTTTTATTTATTTTTTTCCAAACGCGCATTTTCGATAACTCATGACCAAATATTTTTTTTAAAAAGCGTAGTGACATTCCTTTATGTGAGGTTCATTTGAACAAGATGTGAAAATTTCAAAGGAATCAGCTAACCCACTCTTTATTCACCAGACTTCTAAGTTAGTCGAAACAGTTAAAAATGAAATTGGAGAAAACATCAATTTTGTAAAAAACACGTTTCATGCGTCACAAATAGTGTGCAGTTTAAAAAGTTCTATTACAGTGACCACTTTTAATCCATTATAAACACGCCCGTGTTGTATTACCGGTAGAGAATAATCTACACTTGACTTGTAATGTATCTGCAAACAACAGTATTCGATGCATTTGGAGTCACAGTGGTGTTGTCTTTGTTTGGTTGTAGAGACTGCGCTGGTGACGGTTGATCTCCGGCGATCTGAGTCTGTGGTATAGTTGGAAGTGGTGCGTTGGCGGCTGATCGTGCTGCCGTTGCTCGGCGTTGACGTGTTGTGGTAGGTTGACTAGTTGTAACATTGTCGTTGATAAAGCGTGCTGGGCGTTTTGACGATCTCTTCTTTCTTGCTGGAGCCATTTTTGGAAGTACGGAAAGCGATTTTGCGAATTGCGGGATACTAAGTGCATACAGCGAGGCAGCGAGATAGTGTGCTTCGGCAATGGAAGCATGGGCTAGTTATGCACTAAGGTGTGAATGGTTGAGCGAATGACACGAGCCCAGGTTAAATGCCAAGGGTTAAGCCGGTGAATTTAAGCCTGATGGACAGGCGGGAGATGTCGAGTTGAGGATTAATGTGAGGGTGTGCCAAGGTCATTTTTTAGCATTAACACTGAATATATCAGTGCCTTTAATATCCAAACGATTAATCGTAGAACAAGGGATGTTGATGATCTAGGGTGTGTGATTCAAGGCGAGAACATGATCATGCTTAATTGTTTTGAATTCAAGGCGAAGACACCATGATCACTTATTTTGTAAGATTGTAAAATACTATCTGATAAAGGAGCTTTACAGAACACGTTGTTACAGATAAAACTGATACTGTCCAATACGGTAGTTGTCAAACACTGCCAAATATGGTATTATCAATTGTTTTTTTTTGTGTTGACCGGTGATTTTACATCACAGGTGGTTTACAGCAAGCACAAGATATTTACATACACCTACCAACTACCGCACACAGTAGGTAATTACCGAGGGACTTTGCAACATTCCCAGACACTTTCCCAGACGCTCCAACGATCGTTGTAGACGCAATAAAGTTACAGACATGCATGCCTACGTGACAGTTAATCAAAACAACTGACCAGGGTTTCAGATGGGTTCAATTCTATTCTGATCGTTTTGTGAAAATAATAAACCTATTTGATACAAATATTTAAAAACGCCCCTAACATATAATGAAATTATCTAAATTATCCTCGTGAAAGCAGTTTAGTTTTGAATGCAGTTTCTGATTTTGAACAATTGTTGCTATTATGTCAAAGCCTTTAGACGAAGACACTGAGATAGAGATTATTCTACGGTTGCGAATGATCGACAACAGAGGAAGATAGACTAACGAGGGCAACAGTTCAAGGGATTGTGCGAGATTTCAGTCGCATCGGTGGGATATGTCCCTTCGTCAACTGAATCGTTGAGTTTATCAAATTTTTCTGAAGGATATTTGAAACTGGTATATAGTGACGGTGTGGTGAAACTAAGTAGAAGATTCAAGGGAAAGATTGACTGGGCGATGAGTGTTCTGGCAAACAGGGCAATGAGACCAGCCATTATGCGAGAAATTGAACGGGACACTCACAACACTCATATTATTAATACAATACCCATTGACAACATCTTAACAAACTACCAGTCAAAAGAATTTATGTAGCGTCTGCATGTAGCAAAGTGTCGGGGGATGTTGCAAAGTCTCTCGGTAATTGCCTACCAAGTGCAGGAGTTAGGTATATGTAAATATCTTGCACCCGCTGTAAATGGGGCCAGTATAATGACTCATTCTTTTTTTGCTACTAGCGTGTGAGCATGTTCGTACAATATGACTTTTTATCAACTTCTTTTGAAATAGGCTAACTTGAACCTGGTTGTCTGGTAAAACAAAAGAATCAATTATGCAGTTGTTGAAGATTTAGTCATTCACAGACAGGCACCTCAGTCTTCGGGCGGCCTTTTTTCTCCAGTAATCAAAACCTACAGACAGTCTGTTATCGAGAAATTTTAGAAGTTTTAAGTTTTAGGGCTGCCTTGGTATCTTCTTCTTTGATCTACTACGTTTGGCATTGTAAACAGTGACATTTTCAAATACAGAAGTAAAAGCAAAGGTCACCCTTAAAATTAGCCTTAAGGCAATACATGTATATGGCATAAATTACACTTCCAAAGTTTGTTTGAAATTTTCCCACAAAAACAATTTCATTTTGAAATTTCTAATCCCAGAATAAGGAAATCAGAAACAAAATAAATGTGTACACACAGCACCATGCACGTTTACACTGGATAAGGATGAATAAACATAATACACTGAATCCTTCAACGTTACCTCACTGAAAAACACTGCATTACTGTTTTTATTTTATTTTTTGCTAATAGATGCAGGTTAAATTTTGTAAGAAATCGCCAAACACAGAGAGTGATTTGTCACATACGTCAGTGCAAAGGTCAAATTGCAACACTAGCAGACTGTAGCACTAATATTGTTATTTCAATTTATGATTTTAATCATATTTTTTGTCCTAGTCAAAACAGAAAATGCCAAGTTGTTCTTATAAAAAGAGCAACACTTATAAAAATGCCAAATTTAATGTTTTGATTTTGAAAGGTGAACACTTGTTCATCACTTTAAACTATGATTTTTGCTTGAGATTCTAAGAAAACGGAATTGATGTTACACTGGAGGTAATCTCAGAATTATATATAATTTTTGCATTTATTCCTGTAAATATATATTTTCATACATGTAGATTTACAGGATTAAGCATTTCATCAGATTTGGCCTTGAAACCAGAAACTCTCTCAACTCTGAAGTTCCAGCCCTGTCAATGAAGCTGTCAAGACTTGTCTATTAAAATTGGAGAATGGACATTGATACACTGCGTTTCATGCAGCTTGACTGTATTTTAAATAAACTATTTATAAATGTTTAATTTCAAATGAAAACAAATTGACCAAGCACAATGCCTTAGCAGATCTATTCATATCACCCCATAAGAACATCTATCAGGTACATTGCAGTAAATCGCCCAATGTCATGAGAAAACAAGCAAAGACTCATGGGAATGGGCATTACTGAATGGCTTCTACTAAAGTCAACTAAATGAATTTGAATATGAGGATGTTCCAGAGCAAAGGTTTTAAAATATTCTTATACCTCTCCCTAAACATTTCACTCCAAATTGAAAAAAAAATTGTATGCTCCCATACACGAAGGGCAACACATATCTCTATTTTAAGTGCATGCACTTTATTGAAATTTCCTGTCATGAGTTTACAGATGATAGTGTTAGAATAGTATGTTTCAAAGATAGCCTAAATAAGTCGTTGGCTTACATGTGCTTTTGAATTGCAGGTGAGCTTCTAACAAAGCAAAATATTATTTCCTTCTCTATACAAGTGTAAATTTGATATTATTTTTTTTTGCATCACAAAATCATCATTGTATCTAGATATTAGACGTTTGATAACTTATTCATTTATGCAAAAGGCAGAACCCTTATAATAATTGCAATATTTCCTCTACTCGTTGTGAAAGACACTGTGAGCCATTGTTCACAAATGACATCAATAAGTACTCATGAAGACGTTTGAGTCAGGAAAATAAGAAAACAAAAACTAAAATACCGACATACATGTAGTTATTCAGGGATGTTTTTAAACAAGGGAACAGGGGTGCAGCGCCCTCATGCCATGGCCATGTGCCCCTTACCCTGGGAAGCAGATCCTCTGGCAACCATAGAATTCTGATTGACCAGGGATCACATGATAGTAATTTTGAACCCAAGGAAGCCATAGAATGCTTCATTTTAACTTAGAACTCCACACCCTGGCAGGGAGAACCCTAACCCCCCCCCCCCACTTGGTGGCTCCGCTGAATTGCAGTGCTCCCTCTTGATTTTTTTTTCTAGAAAACCCCCTGGGTATTTATAACTTTGTGAAGTTGAAACAATGTACCAAGACTCAGACTTAAAGTTGTCTGGGATCAAAAGGATTAGTTCATAATAATAAAAGCATTAAGAAGGCGACATACGCGTATAATCTTCGCCCAAACTTCCTTAGTATGCGCATATATCATAACATATCCCTGACCTATGGAACGAGCATAAACAACTTATGAATTATACCAAGAAATAAAGTTGTACCAGGAAGTCTCCGTGTACTTACAGTGGGCCTCGTTCTGTCAAAGCCGCCATACATATGGGTTCTGATCCCGCCATCTTCCGTGTCTGGCGGGTCACTAAAATTTACACTTCCTCCTGTTCCACTGTAACGAACATTTGGCACGGTCTCCATGAGTTGTGAGCGTTCGGAGCAATCCTCTTCCTCCTCGTTTGATAAACTCATACAGCTATAACAGATGAATTCGCCGACACCAATATTTCAATCGGCGACGACCCAGGAAGTGAATCTGAAGGCTGAATGTTTTTTTCTGATGATGAGTCACGAAATATGGCTGATTTCCACGATCAGACACACCCTAACTAACCTGAAAAATCCCTTGCACTTCGGTTGAATTGGTAAATTGGCTTTCGAAAAATTAATGCGCTAAGTGTTAAAGACATTGAGATTAGTGTTAAAACGAACACGGAATACGTATATTGTGTCAGAAAACAAACATGGCGGATCACAGCGAAGGAAAGGCCATGACGTCACATTAGGAGGGGGATATCCTGGTCACGTGGCAGTGTTGGGAACTAGTTCCTCCTCTGAAAAGACATGTATTTACGCTCATATTGTAGTTTATTGTATTGATAATTGACTGATATCACGTAAGTAAGTCGAATTCAAGGTTTGCATCAAGTTTCATTCTTTAAGCAAGGATGTTTGTTGTAGTTGTTGGCGTCAGTGATTTCAGTAGTTTCGGAGTTGTGTGGCCATTATGATGCGTGTACTTATTTTCGATTTTCATGAATAGTTAATTTTATGGTGGATCAGTTTGTGTTGAATAAATAAAAACAAAATTATTTTACGTGAGCTGTATACGTGTGATGCACCACTGTAGAGTTGTAATTTATAGACCCGACCACGCCCACTTTAAACCTATTTGGGAAGGCAAGGTCAGCATTCATGAAGACCATTTTGCGACTTCGAATTTCGTTAACGCCACTTATTTTGAAAATTAATTCAAAATTTCTTAAATCGACCAACGGTACTTTATTGGCCAATATCCAAGCGTCGAGCACACATTGCTAACCACCTTCACTGTGACCCCTCCCCCATTATGAATAAAACTACAATCATTGAATCAAAGTCGTGTACATTGTATGTGCAGATGTTGAGTAGGATTTCGATTACACGGGTAACAAATTTATTAAATAATTTATTAAATTCTTAATTTAAATAGTAAATTGTATGTAATATTTGGCTGAAAAAAAAGTTTTCGATTAGTTTGGCGAGAAAAAGTTTAGTGATTTCAATGTAAGTGATCACGTAATTGAATAAAAATGTGTAAATTTGTTTGTCCAAAGAAGATGCGTTTGCCTGTTCTCTGCAATGCATTGACCATTTTATTCAGTCTTCAAATTTAGCTATTACACAATAGATTGCATAATAGATCTCTCGACACCTTCAGCAAAATGTTTACATTTTTAATCAATGCCTTAGTTTACGGGCAATGTATTGCACAACACTGACATGTCAGCCTGAGGAGAGGTTCAGACCTATAAGACAAGGGAGGAAACAAAATATGCACACATTTTTCTAGCTGCCGAAAATCATACCTCAAAATACAAAATACCTTGTCCAAACTAGTTACGAGTGCTTATAAGACATTGAACTATCGCAAAATGTTGGCCGATTACATGTAAATCATATATTTTTCCAGATTTTACGCATTTATGACGAAATTTGACAATTTCTATTCTCTGTAAT